AAGCAAGTCCTAGGTCTAGAAATAAAACCTGGAAAGCTGCCCTCAACATAGTGCTCTATTTTTTACTTCAAAACAAAAATGGTGTCAACATTCCTAAAAAAGTTATTAGAGATGTTATGCTTCTTATAAGCAAGGGGAACCAAGGATAAAATATTTCCTATTCTGCATGGCGATCTCCTTGAGTGTATTAGGTAAATACAGGAAACAGTTTTAATTGGAAAAGGACAAAAATGCTGTACCAAAAATGCTGACTTCAAGGGACAGTGAAATAAAGACAATAGAATATAAACTAAAATACATTTTAGAATTTTTCTTTCTTTCTTCTTAGATTATTTGCCTTATCACATCCCACCGATTCTCTTACAGGCTTGTAAACCATCATAAAGTACAGCTCTAAAACTCTTATTTATCAAATAAAACCAAAACCCAATACCTTCCTCAAAAGGTTCCTCCCTTATAAAAAAAGAGGCATATGAGCTCAGTTCTTCCACTGTTTTTTTTTCAGAGCATAGCCTCCTTTGCCTATCACTGGAAAGAGCAGGTAATCCTTTTCTCCTGAGGTGAGGTATAAAACTTGAGGAGCCAGAATAATTAGAAACCTGTTATCATATGAGAAGCACAAAGCAGCTTCCTACATGAAGGAGGACATAAATATGCTGGTTCTTACATGTGTTTATCCTCCCAACAGTGTGAAATAGTAAAACTGTACATGCTAGATCAGCACTCCTCTTGTGTGCCCCCAGATTAACCCACTTTGTAGAATTTCATGAGCATTTCCATTAGAGAGGGTCCACCAATAAAGCTGAGACATATTTCAAGCTTAGGATTTCTGTACCAATTTTTAAACATCCTTTTGCATTTCCCTTACTAAATCTCTATAAGACAATTTTTTACCCTCTTGGCTGCCAATAGAATAAAATAATCTAACAAAGCAGATTGTCTTCAGAGCATCTGCAATATGTTTGTCCACTATGCTCTCCTAGCATAGTTCCTTGCTCATGGAAACTGCAGGAGACGACTTTGTTCTTGCCTGCCACTTCATTGATGTCTTTCCCAAAGATCTCTATTTAAGGAATCTGGCTAAGTTGTAATAGCTTGATAAAAACACGGTATCTAGATGTCACAGGGGGACGTTGTGCTCCCTGTGCATGTTTGAGCAGTTTTAGAAGTGTGGCTGTATGGAGGAGGGTAAGAAGAATCTCTGGAGTTTGATGAGGAAGGGCAAACCTGAGAATTAACAAAAACCACTGTGGTTTTTGAGACAAAATTAGTGTTTTTTAATGCAGCCCTACAGGACAGTTTATAGAAGATTGTTTTCACCTGTAAACCTAGCAATCCCTGTTCGAACAGTAAGGACTGAAGCCAGGACTAGTTACTTTGAAATAAATAATAGCAGGCTGTAGAGCCACTGCCTACAGGTTATGCTACAAACATAGCACTCTTGAAATGTGTGGTGGGATCTATGTGAACTCTTCCAAGTCCGTTTCTTCTTCTTGTTAAGTCTTGAGGGCAAGAATAATGACCCACTGGTGAGATGCAAGACGAACACAGGTTTTCTGGGAGCCTGTTTGGTGTGTGCTTGTGATTCAAATGGCACAGATTTCTGCTCACACTGGAATATGAACATAATTTAATGGCTATGTGGAAGGGCTTTGAAGAGCTGTCTATTGACACATCTCCAATACTCCAACTCCAGTTGCAACTCTCTTATTTGAGATTATGTAAAAATTGCCTTGCAACTGTGTTGTTCTGCTCTGTTGGGCTAATCTGAGTTGAAACATCTTGTTCATATAATGTGCTTCAGTGCTCTTTTATGAACTCCTGTGTACTGAGGCAAAGTTGTGGGAAGCCAGTCTTCTGTTTCCTTGTCTGCTGGGGATTGGGGAGGGGGGTAGGGGGTGGAGATTTGGGCTGGTTTGTTTTGTTTTCCAGAAGTGATCATGCCTGCTTAGCAAATATGGAATTCTGGATGGGAAAACGAAGACTAACTTCTAATAGAGGGTCGGTTATTGAGGTGAAATAGTATCCCAGACTGGGCAATGTAAAGAGAAACCCACCTGTTTGTATGAGATGCCATTAAAGTGCAGGAAGGTGGGGGTATAATCGGAGCCACTTTTGCAGGGGTGATTACATATAACAAAAGGAGGAACAGCATCCCTGTCCCAAAGCTGCATTATGTAGTCTGGTGTCCCCCTGAAACTCAACTCCCATGTTTCTTCCTTGACAATGGGACCTGAAATAACCTCTTGGTTTTGGTTTTTTGTGTGTTTTCAAGTATGTTCTTGCTTAAGGTTTAATTGGCTCCAGTCAGTAGGAAAGGGCTCCAAGGCTGATTATTTATGGCTTACTGTCAAAAGTGGCTATAAAAAGGGCAGTATTATCTTGGAGATGCTGGGAAGGAAAATGTGGTGGGGGGAGGGTGGGGGAGTGTGTGTGTGCACGAATGTGTTTTCTTGTACTAGATGAAATCAGAGTTTTGCTGTCTCAGCAGTGTGGTTTAAATTGAAGATTAACCCTTTGACCTTCACGGTGTCAAATCACTTACAGATGGATCACCAGTTATATTTTTTTCTTTTTTTTTTACTTTCGGGGTGAAGGGGGGCCTTTTTTTTTTTCCAAAAAAAAAAAAAAAAGGTTGTTTGTTCATGCAGCTGGGGCTTTTGAAAGGCTCAGAAGCCAATCTGATTAAAAACAGCACTTGGCTAAACTCTGCGAAATCCTACAAGCAAAAAAAAAAGTTTAATCCTCTTGTGCACAATGCATAAAGGGTCTGCTCTTTTCTTTTTGTAATGTTAGAGCTACAATTATTTCTGGAGAACTTATCATTTCCCTCTCTCCCCTCATCCCTTGCTGCACCCCCTTGTTATGCTGATGGGATTAAAGTGTCTGCTCTTGAAAAGTGTAACTGAGTTGTTATTGGAAAAGAGAAGTGGTATGTTGCAATTTTAGAAATATAAATAACCTTGCTTTAACTGTTCTTCTCTACAGCATCAGCAGAACAGAAATCAAGTGTGGTGGCAGCTTTTTCTCTTCCTACACAACTTGGCCTTAAACACAGAGGTGAACAGGAACCACACTGGGCAGAGGTGAGCTTCGCCCGCCTGTTTCAGGCCACATCCAGTCTGCAGGGAGCACTGAACAAACACTGGTTCGGGGGCGAGACGTTGCACACCGCCGGCCGGATGTGAGGACTCTGACTTTCTGATACTCGTCTTCAAATTTGGGTGTTTTTATGGACTCTTCTTTGCTGCTGCCTGCCTTGTGAGGCAGGAAGCTCTTGTCCAACACTGTTGAAGGAAAGCCAGAATGTGGGTGTGTTTGGTAAAGCTTGCTGCTGGCTCCCCGCACCGGTGACCTCTGTGCAAGGGAGGCAGGTATTAGACTAACGGCTTCCTCTGCCCTGGGTAGTAGTGGATGGTAGAGTGCAGGAGTGTCATTTTGGCTGCTAGTTAAAAATGATGCCTGGGATTGATGACTAAAAATACTTTGGGTATCTTCCAGAACAGAGATGCTCAATTCCTCCACATTTTTAGCAGTGAAAAATATTCATGTAGCTTGGAACCATCAGGTTACTTGTTTATTCATTGGTTACTGTTTATTTCATTGCACCCTGTGTGAGAGAAAATCACAAAGAAATCTGACCTCTTCAGCCATTCCATTGGGTACCACTTGCAGCTCTCTCACAAGTTGTTCTTTGTCATTGCCATCAATAAAAAAAAAATAAAAAATTCAGTAGAACAGTCTGAAAAAGAAACCATCTTGGGGTTGCTGGTGGCTATTAGTTTCTGCCACTGCCTGCTTTCAGTTCAGTGTTCTCAGTGCCCATGAGCCAGCAGAAAGCCAAAACCCATGGAATATGGCACAAATGTCATTCTTCTACAATGCTAATGTATATGTTTTTAGTAGTTTTATGATGGATGTTTATTTTATTTTGGTTTTCTTTTCTCTTACTATAACGTGGTCGGTCAGGAAGGCTTAGATCCCAGGCATCCAATAATTTTGCTTCAGGATTTGACAGGGAAATCAATTAGCATCTGGTCTGATATGTACACTGTACAAGCAGTCTGTCCATTACTCTAGTGCATAGTGTTTGGAGGTTGTTGTGAGCATATACTGACTAGCAGCAGTAATGGTATTTCAAGGGAGATCTGTCAGTTCCCAGTCTGTATGCACTCAGAGGTTTGTCCGTATGGCTGACACTATTGGACCAGCACAGGGAAATTACCCTGCCAAAAGGAAGTAGCCTTAAATATTGATGGCTACTTCTCTGTAGCCTTAAAGATGCTTAGTTCACAGACCCAGTGACAACTACGGTAAAACATGAACAGAGAAGCAATACAGACCTTATTATTTTTTCTGGAAATTTCCATATTGCCACTGCACCTTGTTGTAAGTCTCAAATGATGCAACCAGCATGAGGAAGAGCTGTCCAGAGAATTGCTCTTCAGTTGTGTTAGAAACTACAGCTGCAGGTGTTGAGAAATTCTTCTGCTCTTGATCCACTCTGAAAAATACGCATTACTGTACAGAAGAGTAGTTTACTTGCACATATGCTTTCCTTCTCCACCCCTCTTTGCGTATTTGTCTCTAATTCCTCCTTTCTCTGGTATTTGTGTAATCTCATCATTGCACTGTAGTGTCTGGTGACAGTTTGCTGAACAGAGTTAATTTTGGACCTTCTTGCTTTCTCCCAGCCCCATTCTCTTTGACTTTCATCCTGCTCTACTGTGGCAGAATGTACTTTAGCTCCCTGAAAGAGGTTCCCAAACCTTTTTCACCCTCATGTATTCACAGTCACTCTCTTTAAACATAAGGAGAGAGTTTATGTGAGAAAAGCTTTTTTTTCTCCCTTTGTGTTATTTTTCTAGCTAGAGCTAGAGTAATATGTTTGTCCATGATGGTTAATAATTCATATAAATGAATCTCAAGTAATATTTTGGGGGTGGGTTTTATGGAGGGGGAGGTGGGAGGGTTTTTTTTTAGGAGGGTGGATTGTTTTTGGTTTTGTGTTGTTTCTTTAAGCATGTGCACTACAGAGTTACCCAGAGTAATCTAAGGGACAGCTGTTGCTGACTATGCTGCAGCAGGACGGGAGCCGCTCTCTGCCCGTGCTGCCAGAGACGAGGCTTTCCATCCTTTGCTTTGCACAGTCTGCTTGATGTAAGCGCTGGCAATTGGAGAAAGAGGACTTAAATGGTGGGGAAAGCCCAAGGTGTAGTGCAAGCACAGACTGAACTGTAAAGCCAAATGTTAAGGAGAGAACTCTTAAATAAGAAGCTCTTTAAGAGGCAGAAGTGGAAGTGTGGAGGCTCAGGAAGCAAGGCAGCAATGATGCCTCCCTGTATGGCATGCCCTTGGATTTGATGCTTGCATTTCCCTCTGCTTGCCAGGACCTTTTTATCAGGAACAGTCAATGCTACATCATAACAGCTCTGCAAACTACAAAAAATTCAGCAACTGCTTCTGACATTTAAAAACCATTGTGAGCTTTCCTCTTTCCCTCTGCCGTGACTTGATGGCCAGACAGGCGAATAAGGCCCGTCCTCTGGATGCACAAGCTGGAAAGATAGGTCTGGTAATGCCGCTTTCTAGTGTTAAGACCCGACCAACTTATCTAGGACGAGACTCTTCTTAACATGGAGAAACAAGTACCTGAAATGGTTCCTCAGTCAGCCTGCTGGCCTCAATAAAGTAATTTGGCTCAGGGAAAGACACATGCCAGTCCATATTTCCCACTGCAACAACAGACTTATCAAAATTGGTCATGCCAGGGTCTCAAAACCTTCTTGAACAACAATACTTCCTTGGAGACATAGAGCTAATGCTAGACAAAGGCCGACTTCCTGCAATATGCATGTTGGTTACTGGTGCCAGAGATTTACAACCACTGATAATATATTTTAATTATATTCCATATCTGCGTATCTCAGAGAAAGGAAATATGCTCTGTCAACCCAAAAGTATTACTTTGCTTCATGTAGATTTGGAGGGGCAAGCTGGTTATTCGCTTAGGGAAAAGCAACTACTTCATACTTAAAGTTTCACCTACTTGGGGAAATAGTGGGAAGGTTTCACACATTTATCAGCAAACACATGGATGCACAGCACTCATGTATGTGTCACCTATTCTGTGCTTGTAAGGCCCCTTGAATGCCTGCTGGGGAGATCTTGCCCTCAGAGTAGCTACCAGGGCTACTATATGGCCAGGGACATAGGTCAGTTGTTTGGAGAAATGGTTCCAAAGAACAGGGTTTAAATCCTGTTGCTGAAGGGTTGTGCTCAGGTTTTTAGATATGAGTTTGTTCTGGTGTAAAGAATGGGACACTGTTTCTCTCTCTGCTGTAAAACTAGAGTCTAACAATTTAGAAAAAAGAGTTGGATCTTTCTCCTAAAACAAATTCCTGTTTTTAATGAGCAGTTCTTAAGAAAAACTTGAGCTGCTGTTGATGGTGCCAGCAGCCTTTAAATATCTTACTTGCCTTCCCCAGATCTCTGAAAGGGCTTCAGAACTCAACTGTCCTTCCTTGAGGAATGGAGCTCTTCCTCCTCCCCAGCCTCCTACTCTTTTGAATACCTTGTAACCTACCCATCCTAGGATCCAGTAAGCCTGGTGCTAGTAGGGAATAGTTAGCTTTACTTTTGTTTCCTGCAATTCTTGAAAGCTGAGCCAGTAATCACAAAGCGACTGCCCAGGGATAGTTGCAAACTGCTGCAAATAGGATACAAAAAAGGCAGGGAAGAGGATGAAATTGCATGGAAAGGGCTGCTGCTGGATCTGTGTAGGGCTGCAGCCTTCCCTCAAGGTGCTGATGATCCCTGGTAGCATTGAATTCCTGCATAACTGATCACATATTTCACTTTAAATAGCTTGTCACTAAATATTTGTTGGTTAAACTCTTGTTTGAGGAGTCCTGAAAGAAACTTCTTGTCAGCCTTTGTTTTGGAGCTGTGTATCAGCAAGGAAATAAGAGGTGAGGAACCCAGTCTTGGTGTAGAAAGGGTGAAAAGACATCTTTTTACTGGCTGTTTATTTTGTCCCCTAAGCCTGGATTAAAGGTATAGGCAGTGTGTATATGTGAAGTTACTACAGTCCTGGAGTTGCTCCATAGCAGTCACTGGAGCTGTACCCAAGGGTGGAACTTCATTTGGTGTGGCACTTGTTACTCTTCTGGGAAACAGCAGATCCTGACCACTAGTAGACTAGGAAGAAGGTGAGGAACCCAGTCTTGGTGTAGAAAGGGTGAAAAGACATCTTTTTACTGGCTGTTTATTTTGTCCCCTAAGCCTGGATTAAAGGTATAGGCAGTGTGTATATGTGAAGTTACTACAGTCCTGGAGTTGCTCCATAGCAGTCACTGGAGCTGTACCCAAGGGTGGAACTTCATTTGGTGTGGCACTTGTTACTCTTCTGGGAAACAGCAGATCCTGACCACTAGTAGACTAGGAAGAAAGGTTGGTTTGCTTGTTTGTGTTTTTTTTTTAAGAAAAAGAAAAATTACTTGAGGCAGTTATTACAATGTGACCCTGTCAACTGTACAATGAATTCCACCCTTCTGCTGCTGGTCCTGACCCTATCTCTGCTGAAGCTGTGGGAATGGTGACATGCTGAGTGGTGTGATATTGAGGGTATTTTTAAAGGGAAAAAAAAATAGGGAAAGCACTCAGCATATGTGCTAGAATCAAACAAGAATGCGTATTTGTGGAGGTCTTGCCTTGTTTTACCAGCAATATTTACTGCAGAATCATAAATAAGAGAACCATGGAATGCTGGTTCATATTAATGGGAGGTCTGCCCATGAACCAAGCACTGTTGAGTATTAGCATAATTTGACAACAAAGGTTTTAATAGTGTCTTTCAAAAGAGTCTGTCTTTCAAACTGGCATTTGTGATCATTTGCAAAAATGCCTACCTGTTGCCTTTGATTGTTTTAGCAAGAAGAAATACCTCAAGGAATTGATAAAAGATCCTATGACAATCTTTTACAGTTCCTAAAGACTTCAGTGGTCTCTGTTTCTTTGGTTTGCATGTGTTCACACAGGTGTTACACAGCTCAGCTCTTCTCCACCAGGAAAAGCAGAAAAGACCAAACACATCAAATGCACTGGAATGTAATTGTGTGTGTGTGTGTGTGTGAGTGAGAGTGTTGTATGTGTGTGTGTGTGTTCTTGAACTGAATGCAGTCTGACATCCCCTACCCCTTCTTTCTTCCATGTGCCTCACCTTCCCCCTTAGCCACAGAAAGGAGGGTCTCTTCCTACGAATCCCATGCTGGAAGTTGGTTTCTGGGAAGCGAAACCTAATGTCTGTGGGCTGTTTTTTAAAGCCATGTTTCAGTTCTGTCTTCAGACTTTTTGCTGCCTTTGGGGGACAGAGGGGTGGGAAGGGTAGATTGTTAAACTGTTTTTAAAATCTATTATGGAAATTTTGCATGTATAAAGTTATTCTTAAATCTAAAGGAGTCTCCCCAATTTGTGGACATGGCTCCAGGAGAGCATCATCACAGATTCCTCAACTCAGTTTTAGATGAGACTATCCTGAAAGGAGTATTTGATGACAAAAGGGGGAGGGATTGGTGTGATGGAAGGACGACAGTGTCAGTATATCTTCAAATACGTGTCAGAAGTTAGGCTTGTAAAAGGGAAATTTTAAAGCAACCCACAGGATATGTATGTCTGTTTCCACTGGGTCATTTGAAAATCCTGCCACTAAATTTGAGTTTGGGTATGTAGATGTTGGGGTTTTTTGGTTAAAATAATCATGGCTCTCTTCTATTCTCTTCCATGGTATGTAGTAGAATCTCCCATGTTTCTAGGTGAAATTCATTGATGAGAATACTGTGAAATATGGATTCACATTTTTTTTCTCCTTCTTCCCCTCCTGCTTCCTGCATGACTGTTCTTCAATGGGGTATTAAAAAAAACAAAACAAAACAAAAAATAAAGCAACAATGAAGTTGTTCATCTTGAAAATAAAAAGGGTAAGATGAGCTAAAATTTGCAATGTACTTAATAAACTTCCTCTCAGTGGAGGGTTTCCCCATGACTTCTGATTGTCACCAGAATATGATGCTGTCCTGCTGCAGAAGTAAACCCGATGCTCTCCTGTGAGATTTCTGTCTGGATTAGTCCTGAAGTGCACACACCTCCTTTGCCATGGACTGAGACCCAGTGAGAATGTAGCATTTTCTTTATCCTGGTTGTGTGCCTCCAGGACTTCTGCCTGTACCAATGGTGATTGGGCAGAGCTCCTTTTTTGTATCTGTGCAGTATATTTGCTTTGTGCTTTCTTCTTTGGTGCTTTTTAATACTTTAATACTTGGATTTTTTTTTTCTAATAACTGGTACAATTTTTAATAAAATTGTTAAATTTGTCTGTGTTTCTTGTGTTATTTTTTATGGGATGCAGGGCATTTACACAGCAGGCCTCTTCTGGAGTTACCTAAATCAATGATACAATTTGGGTTGTTCAACTTTGAAAATATCTGATAGATCGTTTTATGTGCACCCTAATACCAGGCCCTGCAGCAAGGACAAGATTTCGTTTTGAGATTGGACTGCTTTCCTTGGGCATAATTTGATTTATAAAATAGTCTTTCAAGAAGATATATTTCCATGCTTAGACAGAGAACTGCTGCTGCTTGGAGCTGCACAGTTAACCTGCTTCAAATCAGGAAGATCTTGTTAAGATACACGAGGTACATCCTCCAAATTTGCAAAAGGTAATCTTTGATTGATGACCGCTTACCTACTGCTTACACAGGTACATTTGAAGGTACTGAGGCCTTAAGAATGAAGACTCATTGCTTGGTAATCCTGTTAAGGAAATATGATTCTCACTGGTCTTCTGACAAAAAGGCAGCAGAGGAAGATGGCCACATTTGAGAGTGCGTGTAGGGTAGTAATGACTCCTTCAAACACAGAGATGCGAACGTCTCGGGCATCCTGAGCACAGCAATCATCAGGCTTGTCCTCAAGTTTTCCTCTTCCTATTGGGAAAAACTACCTCCACTAAGTAAAGGTAGTTTAACCTGGGTGGAGCAGCAATGGTGATCCATGTATTGTGAATTATTTGTAGTGTAGCTGGTCATATTCCTTCAAGCACATTGTTCCTCTGGTGCAATGCTGCTGCAGTGTGCATGGGAGGCTTAGGGAGCCAAGTTAACAATCCTGCCCGATGTTAAGTTGCCTTGACTGGTGTCTGCATGTTACAAAAGGGCCTTTCATTCCAAGAACACATGATGTGTGGGGTATGAAAAGCCACATGTGCATCTAAGACCACAGGGGGAAAAAGACAGTTTTTCTTTTCATTGTATTAGATCTAGTGAGAAGTGTGTCCCCTGGTCAGCCTCATGTGACCGTGAAAGAGCCTGTTGTAACACACTGATACCAGGGGACAGACGTGAGATTGACTTCGATGGGTGGGTTTGCCCAGAGTTTCCTCATTTTCATGTGGTTAAATTCTCACCGTTAATTAAACTCTCACTCTTAGGAGCTTTAATAATTCTTGTACCAAAGATAAAAATGGCTTTTAAAAATGAATGGTTTGTAGTGCTACTCCAGAAGCATTTGCCAAAGCAGCAGCATGCATTGCACCTTGTTCAAAGCAAAGGCAGGCGTGCAGATGTACGATCAGTCTCCCTTCCTCTGAGATCTGCTAAATTACTCTTGGCTCTTCGCTTTGGCTCTGTCATGACCTGCTGGCCGTTACTTGCCTGTGGCAAAGTAGACTCAGGGTGCATGGAAACATTTTCAGGGTTAGGCATCAGGAACATTCCTATTGCAACATTAATACTTTTTTTTTTTATTGTTAGTTTGAAAGAAATTGGATATCCTAGAAAATGTGCTTTGGAAAACTTTCTTCTTAAAGTACTAAGCCTGCATACTAACAGTGCACTTTCAATTTATTTCCAGCCATGGCCCCTTTCATGACAATCACATGTCCCTCACTTTCTGTACTAACATGACTAGCACTTTAAAGGAAAATGAGTTCTGTTATTAACTTCCTAGCTGCATGCTGTAGAGGCAAGGTAAAAAGTTTAAGTAGGATTACTGCTTCAAGGAAAAAATGTTTATCAAGAAGTGCTCAGCCTGTCTCGTTAAAAATAATAAAGCACTCTGAGAACAAGAAAGTTCTTTGGTTGCGCAAGCTACTGCACAAAGCACTCTATTTTCATGACTCTGGCTGCTGAAGTTTAGAAGCCACTATAGTGTATGGATTGGGGAATATTTTTCAAGCACTCATAACATTGTTTTATGGTGCAGTAAATGTGCTTTTCCTCAGTCTCCACAATGTATATGCAAGCTTGGAAGCAGCTCTACTAACCAGCTTTCTCCTTGTGTTCTCATACTTGAGTAATTCAGACATGATACAGCCCCATTTCCTCCTTTTGCTTGCTCCCCCCCTGCCTCCTGTTTCTAGTTATGAGGAGATGGGGTGTGGGGAGGAAAAAGCATCCTGAAAGCTTTTGACATTTTTGGGAGGTTGGTGTTAAAATGCAAGAGCTGCAGTTGTTTCATTGTTCATGGTTTCAGTCAAGAGGGTTAAACTGAAAGAAACCTGTTTCCAACAGGAATCTAAAAAGGAGGTGACAATAATTTCTGATAGTGAGTTGTCTTCCACCTGACATGATGCATGGTACCCTAACACAGCTAGAAAGTCTGACAACAAACCACCAGGCGTGACGCACTGACATCAGTATTCATATTGCCCTCTATAAGTCCTTTAAATCTTGATTTCTCTTAAATGAATTATGTTCTCTGTAACGTTCATAATGGACTCTTTTCTTTCTCCATTAAAGTCTGTGTCAGCATTCTCCTTCTCTGCGTTTTGCCTCAGGGCTCTTGATGTATACAAAGACTCCTCTGTTTTCTGCTCTTAGTCACACGCTTTCACTCTTAACCTCAGCGCTATAAACTAAACATCCACCCACTATGGCTGGAGATGACCCTGTTTACGTCTGCTGCTCAAATCACGACAGCAGCAGTCATGAAACTTTGTTTTCATGGAGACAGTTAGCTCTTAGTAAGAGGACAATGAGGCTTGACTTCTTTCAACACTGCAAGTTTTTGAAAAAAATTCAACAGAAATAAATAGCCAGGAAAGATTAATGTAATACGTAAATAAATTGGTTGTTTCAATCATTTTAGATCACCGCCTTTTAAAATTACTGTATATGATTTGTTGTAGCAGTTCACTATGGTATTGGAACACACCAATTCAATCTGAGGGCATAAGCACGGGAATGGGGCTTATGTTTACATTTCAGGGCTGGTTATGATGGTCAGCCTGAACCATGACTCTCTGCAATCCAGCAGTGAGTGTAAAACAGCAGGGTCACCCACACCACTGAGAAATTCCCATTTTTGGACACCTTTGCCACCAGATTTACTGCCATGACTACTGAACAGGGAGCTGTTTGGAATGATAGCTCTTCCTAAGGAGACCAGCAGCCCCTTAGTAAACAGGGTGATGAGTGACCAGTTTGAGAATATGAAGGAAAGTGTCAGGAACACTGCTAACTCACAGTGGAGGATCCCCTCCCTTGACCTGCTGCCAATGCTCTTCCTAAGGCAGCCCAAGATCCCATTGGCCTTCTTGGCCACCAGGGCACTGCTGGCTCAGGGACAGTTTGGTGTCCACCAGCACCCCCAGGTCCTTCTCCACAGAGCTGCTTCCCAGCAGCTCAGCCCCAGCCTGTGCTGGTGCCTGGGGTTATTCCTGCCAGGGGCAGGACCCTGCACTTGCTGCTGTTGATTTCAGACAGTTCTTCTCTGCTCATCTCTCCAGCCTGCTGAGGTCCTTCTGGGGACTGCACAACCCTCTGGGGTGTCAGTCACTCCTCCCAGCTTTGTGTCCCCAGTGAACTTGCTGTCATCATTTAGCATGAAGGTGTTGAGATGCTCTCAATATAAAACATATTTCAATGTCTTCCAATGAGTCCTCTCTGTGACCCTGCCCAACATTTCCACTACTGGGGCAGCAGCTTCCCGGAGCTCTCCACACTACTCCCCTTCACACAGGGAGGCCCAGGGCTCTGCAGCTGGCAACCAGCTTGCCCAGTCTCTTAGGCATTTGCACAAAGCCCTCCTTCGACAGGACAGGGTCACAGAGCTCATTTTGCCTCAGTGCAAGCATGCTCCCCATGGAATATTTGCTGGCACTTTCATTAGTCTAATTTTAAATATCCCAAGTGAATGGCTCTCTACTATTTCCCTTGAGAGACTGCTGTACCTACTAATAAATCTTACTGACAAAAGGTTTTTCCCAATATCCATCCTAACTTCTTTCTCTCTTAATTATATTCCAATACCCTAGTTGTATGTCCTTGTGTCACTTTGCAAGGAAACCTTACCAAAGTCATTTCTATAACTAATGCACCCCAGAGCTCACTGAACTCCTTGGCAAAAGCTCCTGCTGACTTCAGTGTACTTGCAGCCAGCTTTTGGGCAAAGCTCTGCGTTTCCCCTCAGTGCAAGCCTGTAATCCTAGAGCTGGGATGGTGAGGCATAGCAAGCTAGTGTTGCTCCCCAGCCCTTTCACTGCTGCCCTCAGTCTTTCTGCCTGGGACCACCAAAGGCTTCAGTGAGGGTAGGGAAGTGGACAAGATGTAACCCAGGATATTCTTCAGGCTTTCTGAGGTGTCCAAGCCCCCTGCTTGCTGACACTGGCTCCCCCAGTGGGGCTGGCAGCCTGTGGGATTCAGGGCTGAGGCTCCAGTAGGATGGTTTGGTATGTGTATCTTGGGAGCAGCTCACCTGGGAACAGAAACCTGGCTCCATCACCCAAGTACTGCCGGTCTGGCAGCCTGGCTGTGTCCCTGCATGGCAATATCCCTGCCTGGGGTTACACTAGTAACAACAACATGACATTCATTCCTGCAATGTTGGATGTAGTAAAGCATTTCCCCTTCGCTTCCTTCCCTGTATGATTGTGAGTCATGGTTCTTGGGAGCTGATAACAGGGGAATCCAAACGGTGCTTCGAGTTGTGCCCAAACATGAACAAATGCTTAATCAATCAGGGATTTATCACAAAAAAAAAAATGTTTGTTGATGTAAGCTGTTATTTGGAGCTGATGTGCCCATGTCACATTATATGGTTTTTATGCCTCCATCTTTTTTGGAACCAGGCATTTTTCCTTCACATGAAGTTTCCTTCCTCATCTACAGAAACAGAACCAATCCCCTCCTCACTCCTGCTGCAGTAGTTTGGTTGCCCTTTGGAAAAGGAAAACTAAAGTAGAATATCCAGCTTTGTACCAGCTGCCTGTGAGGTTGGCCAGGGGGAGTTTCCCTTGCTGGAGAAGGGGTTACCACAGGCCACTTCTACGGCTGAACTCTCCTTAACATGGTAGATGTGGCCTGTAATTGCA